GGCTCCGTCACCCAGGGGAAAAGGGGGGACAAATCCATGGGAGGCAAAGCAACAGCTGGGTATATACAATTTCTTAACCTGGGTGCTGTTAGTAGGTGTGCTCAGTTTGGAAAATTCACCAAGCTGAACACTTATGATATGTACACTTTTCTATATATATAATATACTTCAATAAAAAGTTAGAAGCTACTACAAACACCAAAAGGTTGGGAACCACTCTGTAAGGAGGCTAAGCATCACTCTTGCTATTTTAGCAAAACTTTCTTCCCAGAGAAACCCTCAGCCCATGAGCTGGTGACTGTGCACACCCCTGGGGAAGCTGGCAGTGCTGAGGAAGCCTGACTGGCTGCAAGGCATCATAACCTCTAAGAGACAGAAAACATTCTTCCAACTATATGTAGTCCACATTCAAATACTACTCCCCGCCCTCAAACTTGAGAACCACAGAAGTAGGCCAAAGAACTTTGCTGCCTCAGCTCTTCCTCCGAGCAGCTCAAGCTAGTCTATAGAGAAGATGTATATGCACACATGCTTCCCATGGGAATTTAAAGAATACAGATGGACACATTACAGAACTGTATGTAACATTCTGAGTCTTGAAGACTGTACTGTAAATTATCCTTGGGAGAGGCCAGTCAAAAGTTTGAACAATTCAAAATTATGGGCAAATGTCTTTTTAAAAGATTTCTAAGGGCTGGCCAATTAGCTAAGTTGGTTAGAGTGCAGCCTTATAACACCAAGGTCACCGGCCAGCTGCCAAAAAAAAAAAAGATTTCTAAGCCTGAACTTGCAATAAGAGTGTTAAAAACACTGAGAGTAAAAATTAAAAAATCAGTATAAGTAAAAACAAAACGTAACAAACTCATCCATTTGGTATAAATTACCACTATAGAGTATTAACCTAACTGTTACCAGAAGCTAAAGTATGAAAGCAATTTCTTCATTTACTTATTTTTTATTGTAACTTTTTGGGTTTTTTACAGCGGGCCTAAAGTGATCCAAACCCTTGACCCTCGTGTTATCAGCCCCAAGTTCTAACCAAGTGAGGTAACCCGCCAGCCCTGAAAGCATATCTTAAAAAGTTGTTGTATCACTGTTAATAATTCCATAAAGGTTCTCAGTTATTATCAAAATCTATTCAATAAACCTACAGGCCCTCCTCTGCTAATGAAAATCCAAAATGAGCAGGTAGACCCTGCTCCACGTCCAGCGCCTGGCACCAAACACGCACCTCCCTACCCATAAATACGCTGCACAATCCCTGCAGCGGGGCCAAGCCAGCAGCACTTGTGGTCACCCTGGAGGCCCACTGCGCCTCAGCCTGCCCCATGGCTGCTACTGCAGGAGTCCAACTGCCCCCTCCTCCAAGAACCCTTCTGTGACTTCAAAGGACAGAAGTAAGCTTGCTCTTCTCCAATTTTATGGAAAAATTTCTACTCCTCTGTCACGGCAGGCGTATTTTCTCCCTCTCACCTTGGTTTTTCCTAGATAGACTCTAGCTCTCCTACGACACCCCTAGCAATACAGGGAACAGCTCTGATTACATCCAACGTCTCCCTCCAACCCCAGGAAATACCTAGCACACTGCGCCCAAAGCAAATGCCAAGTGACAAACAGGCAGTCGCCGCATTATCTCCTTAAAATTACCTTCATACATACAAGCTCGTATAGCACTTGTTTTCTCGTCAAAAACGTAACTTCCAAAGCCAGCGTGAGAACTCTGAGACGTGTGTCCCCGAGTAACAACCGTTACTCCTTGTCTTCCCAGTGATGACACTTAGCAGTGGCCCTTCAAACCCGAGGTGGCGAGGTCCCCTCCACCCCCGGCCCCGCCTCCCGCCGCGGGGACGCCCCCNGTGAGAACTCTGAGACGTGTGTCCCCGAGTAACAACCGTTACTCCTTGTCTTCCCAGTGATGACACTTAGCAGTGGCCCTTCAAACCCGAGGTGGCGAGGTCCCCTCCACCCCCGGCCCCGCCTCCCGCCGCGGGGACGCCCCCGAGCGACTCCTGCAGCACGTCGGCGTGTGAAGAGGCCACCTCCCGGCGCGGACTCCAAACGTGAGGCGACGTTTCCCTCAGAGCCCTTCCTCTCCTCCACACAAAAGGAAAAGCGACCCGGGGCGGGGAGAGGACCGTTTTCCGCTTGACACCAGCAGAACGGGGAGAGCCCACCCCGCCGCGTCAGAGTCGCCACCACAGCTACGCGGACGCAAAGGACTCGCACGACGTCCGGCCCAAGACCCCAGCGCAAGCCCAGGAGAAAACGGAGCTCGGGCGGACAGAAAGAGCCCGACCCCCGCCCCAGCCGGCGGGAGCGCGAGTGGGCGGGCCGGGCTGGGGGCGCCGCCCGGCCTCGTCCG